AGATGGTGTTGGAAGAAAGAAAAGGTTGGATGAGGAAAAGTAATAAAAGTGATTAAAGTAATTACAAGAATTAAAAGAAAAGAAATATGTCAAGACTGATTTGTGAGAGTTATTCAAATTGCTACATTATGGTGAAAATATTAAGTTGATCGGAGAAACAACATGCAAAATGATGGGTTTTAACGTCGGGAATTCAAAGAAAAGACAAGAAAAATTGTTGAGAATGCATTAATAAAATTTAACGCAAACAAGAAACTTTATTAAATTAAGGTGTTCGCGAAAGAATGTAACTGAATGAAGGTGCAAAGAAAGTACAATGATCAAATGACAGAAGAAAAAAAATAAATTAAATAAATAGGGGTATTAATTTAAGGCTCAACAACAATAATGATATCAGCAAAAGGTACATATAATGGAGCGCTAGGGCCACATGTGCGTATTAGCTAAAATTATTTCCTCAAAAATAAAGTTTTTCTACAACAAATATCACACTATAAATAAACAAGAAATTTATAATTTTCTTCTAAATATGTGCCATTTACCGTTTTTATGATTTCATAAAACTACAAAAAATTTTTATTTTATTTGATTAAAAAAAAAATAAATAAACAGAAGTGTAAGACAAGAATTGAATGTGAAACCTCGTCAACATGATGTTACGTTTAGACAAGTGTTAAGGTAGGGAATTATTTGTTCCTGATCGTGATGTAAAAATAAGAAAATAATATTTGCTTGGCGTTTCTATTAAGGGTGTTGCAATACATAGTGACAACGGCTACAATATTTAGTAACAGCAGCGGCAGTATATAACAACGCTACAATCATCGCCTGCACTTGGATGACTTGAATTGGATGGATTTATGCATTTGTCTTTATAAATTCACTGTTGTATTGCAGCGAACTCAGCAGACAAATATGTTTTCTTTTCCTTTATATAATATTATTATTATTTAGCAATAAGCGATAAATTTTGATATATGATTAAGAGGTATAATATTTTATTTTGAGTATAATTATTAATTAATAAAAATGAAAAAAGAATATTAAGAAAAAACAAAAATGTCGCTTAATTAAATTTTTTTTTTTTTTTGTTATGAGAGGGAGGTAGATTTAGACGGTTCTTTGGACCTTGAAAATTTGAAACATGTTTATAACGTATTTTTACACGTGTTTATACTACCCTTACGCAACGGAGGTAGTCGACAAAGTGGTACCTATACTTACACGTGAACCGTAACACACTAATTGGACAGACAGAGAAACTGCTATTAGAATTTACGTGGTTACGAGTGAGGGATACTTACGGCTATTACCGTACAATTATGCGGACAGATTTGTTATTAGTAACGGAGCAAAACGCTTGCATGCAGGATTCATCTCGAGGTAATGTGAATCCGATTCTGGAATGTTCTTGACACCAGTGTAAAGCCGCTAATTGGCAATGGACTGCTACTACGCAAAAAAAAAACAAGAAATATGTAAAGTGTTGCCCACTTTTTGTTATCAATTTTAATAAATATTTATCTTTTATTTACTGTAATATATTTTAGATGGTACATATATAAATTGCACGCTGAGCACGCAAAAGTCACATAACGTCGCAGCAGAGGCAACCCTTATCAGAAATAACATACAAATTAGTTTACGGCAGTGTTATAAATAGCCCCTTAAAACGCATCAAAGCGATAAGCGGAAGCGGAATTTTTCAGGGGATCAGCTAAACGCAAAACCAATTAAGGACATTTCACAAATCAAAATCAACAGTCGTATCCCGGCATTGACAGTTGTTAGTTGTTTTAAAATTAGTGATCAAGATTATTTGCCGGCGTTTTTCTCATTTTCTCTAAAACCAGGGTTATTAGTTTATGGAGATTCCAAATTAAAGTTTAAAAATATATGCGGCGTTACAAAATGAACTGGAAATTGAAAGTAAATGATTCACATATAAGAATTATTATAATTGTTATTATTGTTCTTTTCCCAATTCAGTTGAATACTATTTTATGTAGATACTGTTCGATGATTATTGAATAATAAAATCAAGGCCTCTGTCAAGATCGTGATGTATTTAAAAGCCGAACCAGATCGCGGTAATATATCATTGGAAATATTGTCACCACATAGTTGAAGGAAATTGATTGAATTTCGTAAAAAATGAACGTAGAAGATGATGACGATGATTGTTGCTGCTGGTAGATCTTTCGCGGCCATTTTGTATTAATTTATGTAATTAATTAAGATCAACGATGTACTTTAATTTAATTCAAAAAATATATCATTTTGTTATCATTATAGTAAAATATATAATAATTGAGTACCAACATTAAAATCTTCAAATTTATGACTAAATCTTAGAATATCTTCTTCTTTTTATTTGCGAGTCAGGAAATCAACAACGGATGATTTGCTGCGTTGAATAAAAGAAGATTCAATGTGAACACGAAGTTCTCTGTTTGGCGGTTAGCTTGATTGTATATATATATGTCTATATATGCACATAAAAATATATTTTGTGCGTTGTGATCCTCGCCATGTAATGATTTTACGGAAAGTGATCTTTTAATTAAATTTTCTTAATCGAAATATCAAGAGTCTACGGATGTTGACAAAACCGGTTCGATATTTGACATATGTCTTAACGACGTTGTTCAGAATGCGGCTGAAAATCTTACGGAGAAACCATTCAAGTATTGTTTTTACGTGTAGTTTACGAAATGTTTTTAAAATTTTCCGTTTTTTTTTTTGTAATTAAATATATTTTTATTTTATACACAATTGCAACAGTTTACCCAATTTCCGTTCCCGATGATTCTTTTGATGGTTTCGTTGCCAGAATCAGTTAGTAAACGTATTTCAGCACCAATATTGTTTTTTAAGAAAGCATTATGTAAAATATGCCACGCCTAATTGTTGATAAGTCCGGCTTATAATGGACAATTCTTCTTTAAATTCTTTAAACTTTCATCTCAAGCTCTCAAGTACTTTACCCATTTTTGTAACAATTGAAGCGTTTTATGATCAGTTTAAGAGATCGGCACAAATATGTGGTATTTTTGAAGCCTGCAAATCTATGATTAGATCTCAGTCTATTAAAATGTCGCAAAATTTCGCAAAATGTTCCAATGGCAAAGTGACATTTATCTCTGCCTACCATGTAATTAGTGACGTCCGCGTGATGTCGTCACGAATATAGCTGCAAATGTTATTTATCATTGCTACGATCAATTGTAAATTTTATAATGCCGTTCTAGTTAACTTAGAACGGAATAAAAAAAAAAAACTATTCTTTAGGAAAAATTAATTTCTAAAAAAATATCTCGCCTTTGTTCGATGTGTTTATAGGCGCAAAGTATAATTGGGATGTTAGTCATGTACTTGAAAGTTAGTTAGATTAGCTGTTGTATTCAGATGTTTGGTAAAAACTAGGAAAAGCTAAATTACCCGCCATGTTGTCAAGTTTTCGGGTACCTAGTAATGAAATGCAAACTATTTGCTCTAATTGTCTAGTGCACTGCACTGCATTATTGTGTTTAGTTCGATTTAAATTTCTGTAATTAAACGAAATACAAGCGTTCAAGTTTATGGCAAACGATAATAAAAAAGTTCGTTTAATATCCTTCAACAGATGCTGTAACTGATCGCAAGACGTTTCGTCCTATAGAAGCAAGGTGAAACTAGATTTCTAAAGTGTTGCGTTGTTACCGGTTATTTTTAAATTGTTCTTCATAGCAGAAGTCATCGCTTTACCAGGCAAGTAATATTTGTTATATTTTTTAAATTTATTCACTTATTTATTATTTCTATTTTTGGCATTTCACTCTTAATGATTTTTACCCATCATCCATCATATTATAGCTTCATATTAAAATTTTGTTGTCAGTTGTGTCAATCTGAAATACATATATGCTAAAGGACTTATAAAGTATGTATTCACTTCATTAGATCGATGCATCGATTCAACCGTATTCATGACAATAACAATTTGAGATAGAAAGCAGTAAAGCCTTTATAGTAGATATGATCTAGACGAGGGACATAGATTAGGTTTCAAAGTAAACATGACATGACGTCTGGGCATATTGTAGCAAGAAGACTGGAAATTGTCAATTATAATAAAAAGCAAACTAAAATTCTTGACATATATGTATCAGGAATATCCAAATCTAAGGAGGTCTAATGCGTATTCATCGTATAGTTTTATTAATGATTTCACGGTTGCACAAATCGAGCCGGAAATTTGAAGTTTCGCATACACAAAATCAATTTGAAAATGATATTGATTAGTCCACAAATCAGTCTACAACAGCCACACACAATGATACTACTACGGCCGATGACAAAGGGGGAAACTTTTGAGTTTCTAAACGTCTTCGGTGGCGGTTAGTGCCTCACTATCAGATTGATTATATATCGCATGGATATGTTGTCCCGTTGACCTATTTAGCGTCGCTGCCTAAAGCCTTAGCGTGCAGTTCCACACTAGAGTTACCGCGATTCGTTTTATCACAGCCGCCATAAAACAACCCGTAACTTTGCCAACTGTTACGCAGAAACAAACATCGTTCCAGTTGCTACTGAACTCATGCTTGTTTTGTTACATTCGATATTGCTGATCTGAAATACTTCGAGAGATGGTGGGCATCTCAGATTCGCCCCAAAGCGAATATAATTTTTTTCTTAGTCTACTTATAAATTACTATTGCGAACAAATGACAGGAACCTTATAATAGATTGTCCTCACATCACAAGTAAATACCCACAAGTATCAATATTAATAAAATAATAATAAGGATTAGGATGAAATAAAATTTTTTCTGTAATTTCAAACATTTATGCAGTAATTAATAGATTTCACGATTTAAGTTGAATGATGTGAACTAACCTTGAAAGCTTTTTGATGCAGTTTATCGGCATCACTTAATTCATCGGCACCTCTCCCTACAGCATCCCTGGCCTGTTGAGCATGAAACTCAACCCTTTGTACAGTTTCGCTCTACATAAGTACGAATTAATTTTGTTAATAATTTTCCTCGTTCATACGATCGGTATTGCAAAAGCCTTAAAGTTACAAAATGCGGATTTTATAATAAAATGAAGTCATCGTAAATGTCTGTTAGAACTTATTTACTCATGACCCAAACATTTTAGAGAACCAATTTTCGGTTATATAATAAGGTTTAAAGTTTTATTTAGAAAGTACGCGTGCAATCGCTATAAGTAAGTAAGACACGGTTTAACGCATTCCAATTTAGATCTATTCGTTTTTTGTAATTACTTTACCATGTTTTCTAGGCCGTACTATTTAAATCAATCAAAAAATTGTTGCTAAAAATGATCGGCACTAATAGTACTTCGGCTTCGAGGAGATTACATTTTCTTGATGTCAGCACAAGTAGAGCGTTTTTGTATTTTCATAGCATCGTCTGTTGCTGACTGATTTATTTAAGCAATTATCAGTTAGTCCTTCTATAAGAAATTTTAGCCTTCAATAGGTATCTTAGAAATATTCCCTTTTTATTGTTTCTACTCCTTTCGAAAGATTTCGAAGATTTGGAATTCCATCCGGAATATGCATTGAAGACCTCGGTCGCTTTAAAACTTTCATTGAATGAGGATGACTTTGACTTGAAAATTGCAGTCGAATAGGAGTTTCGCGTGCGACAAGTTTCCCCCGAATTGAATTCGAAATCACATCAAGGAAGATGGACATGGCGTTAATTTTCACCTCAATGATTTTACTATTCAAATCAGTATTCCGACCGAAGATTCAAGACGGTCGCCACACTTGTTCGCACTTGGTTTCCTTAACGCCACCTAACGATAGCTATTTTTGGAACAAATTGGATATCTCCGGTACGAGATAGCAATAGCGCCGCAATTTGGCGCAGAGCTGGCAAAACAACCGAACTCTTTGGTAGGTTTTTAATAAAGTGGTGTTTGTCGATATTATTAGTTAGGGGCGATAATTTAAAGAAACAACATATATATGGTTGTTATTGTGTATGTATTGGAAAAAAATCCGCATTATTATTGTGTTCGATTTCTGATATACTTTACCTGATCCAATACTAAGGTTTGTATCTTTAAGAATAAAACGTGTACTTCTTCTATGGATTTTTCCAACTTTTTCAACTCATTGAAACGATCCATAAGATCTCTTAAGGTTTTACGCTCCTTTTCTGTTTCTTCCAGTATCTAGGGCAGCAAAAGAAGAAAACAAAAACAACTAAACTTGCAGTAAAATTATTAAGAATGCATTCGAATATGAATTGAAAATATTTGAAAAACTTACATTCCCCACAAATAAGTTGGTTGTCTTATTTGATATTAGTTCTTCTATTTCTTCTTCTGTCGCATTGCAATTGACTGTACAAAAAGTCATTGATTAGTGTGTTATTATTATTATTATTATATATTTATGTTCATTTTTCTTTGTCTTTCTCTTTTCTTACTTATTCGGGATTGCATTTGAAGATTTTTTTTAAGTTTCTGTTCATAGTATTGCAGGAATTCTTCATTGCGTGTCCACATATTTATGTAGCTTTGATAGAGTCCATAGAATAAGGTACGTTTCATACGCGCCTCCAGACTGTAATCATCTTCCGGCGGTAGATTTGCTTTAAATTCTTGAAACTTACTCATTAATTGATTACCAAGACGAAGATTTTGTCTACGGAAATGTTCCATTTCATTTTCTATACAAAGAAGAAGAATAATAAATGATTCGATTAGCAACTCTGAAAATATATATATAGTTTATATATTTACCGTTATAGCTTCTTATATTTGTCGTTTGCACCATACGATTCATTGATTCCAGATTTGTGCTTATTTGCGCTAAATGCGTACGTATTTCCGAGTACTATGAAAAGAAAGCAAACGAAGCGAACTTATCTAGCATTGCATAGCAATTATGAACGAAATAATATCTTACTCTAATATCATCATCATATATATGTAAAGCACAAAATATCTCTCTCGTTATTGTGTTAAATTATTTAATAAAATTATTACTTATCCTCTTTCTTAGTGTTTTGTACACATCGTCAGACGACGAGAGCATAGAAACAGTGACTCACGTCAGTACGTATGTTCGAAATTCAAAATTCAGAATTCAAAATAACAAAAAGTCTCTGCAATCCTTACAAATGCTAAAAATTGTTTCTCTGCTCTTCTAAACTCTGATCAAAAAAATTATTATTAATGGTAGCAATAACTAATTAAGCAATAATAACTCCAAGGCCGCTGCAAATTGTAATTACTTGTATACGTGATATGAAACGGCTGATAGCGAGTTTTCCAACTGTTAGTGCTGCTAGTGACTTTAATTATGAAATTAGAAGGGGCGGTCAATGAAAACCATTAGATTCGTGCAGGAAGTTAGTAAACAATTTGCGTGACAAGACCAGAAAGAGTGGCAATAAAAGCCCCTCATCGTTCTACTCCAATCGGTGATATCAAGTCGGCGTTGAACAACTGAGAATCAATGTCCGTAATGTCCCCAGTATGTACCATAAATTTGCTAAAGATCCATTGCCAATATTTTATATAAACTTGATCCGTAGTGTATATAATAAGAAGATTGACGTCTTGAAATATTTCAAACATGCTGCCCTCAGAGTTGAAGCAAGCCTCTTTAAAAATCAGATGCCATCGGTGTCAAGATTTTGTACGCATAGCATAGCGTAGCATAAGTCAAAAGTGTTAAATGTGGCTTCGTTTGAATCATTTAACTAAATCCTGTACTAAGAGCGAAGAGACCCTTTCAAAGTAAGTCAGGATTGTGGACATGCAAGAATTTATTGCATGCAGCAAGTCTATTGTGTTAAATCTACCTTTGATGATTGCCTAACTAAATCCTGTACTAGTAGTGACGATACCTCTACAAAATGTGACATTTGTTTGCAAAATCTCTGTTCTTCTTAACAAGGGCTTTGAAGATAATAATAGTCTTTCTAATTACCATTATGTTCAAAAAAACGAATACTTTTTCAAAAGGTGAAGACTTGATTACGAAGCAGGTTGAGATAACAAACACTCTTTCCAATATGATGACGCTCATCGTCTCTAAACTATGCAAACAAGTCTCCAAATCGCTATGTGGAATGATAGTGGGCCTTTCAAATGCATCACTCATTTAGAAATTTTTCTTCATGAAAATTTTGTCGAAATTCTTCTTACATTAGTGATATAATTTATAATTTCCAATCAGTCCAATCATAGAGCTAGTGCTGGGCCCGCGGTTCGGGCGAAATTTGCTACTGGATGCATATCTTCTGAAAATCGTTTTAACAGGCTTTTTATATCAACATAAATTTCAAGGATTCTGATATTTTAATTAGCGCAGTTTATTATGTTCCCCGAATTTCATTAAAATGTTATGATTATGATGATTTCTTCTAGCGGTTAAAAGAAACATTTATTGCTGGTGGGCATCACACGAACTCTCATGTACTAGTCGTGCGGTTTAAGAAAAATTCTTTACTCGCTGGATTTCGTTGTGTACCTTGATATTCCCGCTAATTTACTTCGTATTCAGAGCAATGGCGATCTTAGTTCTGATCACTCTCTATTGATTAGCAACCTCATTACGACTCTTCACAATCTCCTCGTAGATCGGAGATTGCGACTTTTAGAGACTGAAACGATGACAACTTGGAATTTGATCCGAGTTTGCAAACTTCTTCCGGAATTAATGTTGCGGTGGAAGATATTAGAAATCCGGTTCATTCAGCTGACATTAATAATAAGAAAGAAGAAAACATTAAGAAAACAATGGCAAAACATTACAGATCTTCTATTTATAAGGAATTTGAGGACAATTACAAAGGATGTGCGCTTACGCTCCGTTGAGATAAAAAGTGAATTAAATAACAATTTTTCAATCAAGATCATTTCAGGCATGTTTAATGATCATTAATTATGGTAGAGTTACCATATACCTTAAACGACGGACCAAGCAAATTGATTCAGGTTGTTGAGACAGGTTGTCTTTATTAGCTGAAAGGAACTTTTTAGCCTAATAAGTTTTGTAAGAATTCAAACACAGGGAAAATATTGAAGTTTCTAGGCAGCCCACCTCTCGCGGATTGGCCTACCAGATGTATGACAGTAACTGAAGTTAAAGAAGAAATGAGCAAACTAAACGTTAGAAATATATAGTTATAATTGTGAAAGTGAAATAACTATTAAACTCTTATCACCAAAGGCTGTTGTCGTCTTACGAATAAATTTTAACAAAACGTTAGCATTGAACCACTTTGCAACTGCACGAGAAGGTGTTAACTATGGTGGCTAAGCCAAATAATATAGAATATGTAGCAAGCTCGTAATTTACTAATACCACTCTCTAAAATATTTTAAAGAATATAAAGACTATAAATACTACTGCCAGTAGTAGAGAGGAATTTATTATTCCAGTGACTAATGTCATCATGTTGTTTTTGTAAAAAGTATTGCGGTGACATATACCTAGGCGTGGAAAAGTACTTTGGCAATTACCCCATGTACTTTTTCTACGAACCACAAATTCACCTCAATCCAATGGAGTATTCAAGTACACGCTGAAAAACGTGCGCCTATTATATTTACGGTAAATTATGGGTGTTTGTTCTGCGCTATTTTTGGTGAATGGCAACAATATCAATAGCTATGTAAAATATCTCGGTTTACATGTTGAACCAAAGAAGAAGATAGAAGAATCATATAAAAACTAATCGCCAGCAAGTTGACTTCAAAACCTGAAGACTCGATTTACCGATTCGATCAGAATCTCAATTTAAATGAAGGAATAAATGGATATTATTTTAGAAGAGTATCCTTCAACAAATTTTTGCGTATGGCGTACAACTGTGGGGAACATCCACCCTGCAATCTTCCTGGAAAATATCCTTCAAAAATATCAATCTAAGACTTTCCATCGTAGAGTTAAAGCCCAAACTATACATGATGACCTCGATTATCTATTCATCAAAAATCGAATTCAATGCATTTCTCCAAGTATCTTGTCAGACTAAGTAATCAGATAAATTCCTTGGCAATATCTCTTCTAGTCGAATCCAATGCAATAAGAAGACTGAGCTTTTTTTGTTCCTTTCCAATTGTTATTCCAATGAATAACCCAAATTTACATAGCTCCGTCTTATTTATATAAATATCGTGCGCTCTGCACTGTTGTATTCTTTCAATTGGGAGGCAATAACCTCTGTTACTTTTCGCATCTATTTCCAGGAAGAAAATACTTTTAAAAGTTTTCCTAATCTCTAGAATCATTTAGAAAAATATTTAGAACGACGTATAAACATTTTTATACTTTTCACCAGTTGTGGTACCGGGAGTATATTGAGTTTACGGGAACGCATGAATGCACGATTGATTCAGAATCATTTTTAAATTGATTTAAGCGTCTCCATCCTCGTGTAAGTCTCATGTCCGTCTCTCTGATATATGACCATGGGCTTATGTGTTTTTCCTATCGGTCGCCATTTTTAAGACACTAACAAAGTTGGTTACTGGTATGATCCAATTCACTGTTAATAGCGTTTATCTTTGACCCCGCCAGCTTAACGAATTCTGTTAATATATATCTCGAGTGCGTACTCCCGTATAAACTTAATATGCTCTACGTCGTGTACGCATCCCTTGCTAATAGGGATGTGCTTCGATTTCCTTCGTTATTGACTGCGGTCGAAGTGGACAGAATATAAAAATCTTATGTACAGAATTTTTTCCAAGCAGGTCTTTATAGACACAACCCGCCCATTGAACTTGATAAAGGAATTTTCAAAACTTACTAGTTAATGGTTATAGGGTCTTTGAATTTTCGAAAAGGTAAAACCCTACAAATGGCTATTTTGCGCAAACACCGTGTAGGTTCGTCCACTGATATCTACACAATTGGCGAGCGATTCAGTAATTTGTTGCGCTCTATTTGCCTCAAGGTGTCGAGACTTACGAGCTTTACGAGATGCACAGCGACTTTTTCTCTGCATTATTGTTACTGAGAGACCATACGATTATCCTTGTCGTGCATTTAAAGAAAATCCCCGTCTTCTTTGCAATATTAATTTTCAATTCACTTTCACATTGCATCTGTAGCCAGATTAAATTTTTCAAAATGCTCGTGACCTCGTCACTTCCGTCACTTACAGTAGCGTGTTTAGCTTGTAGCCGCAATGAATCAAATAACTTTTCTACAGGTAGTCTTAATATTATCTAAAGGATCCCGTTAGGTCAACGAATCTATTCTTAATTAATAAAATACTTTACAATTTTTAGATATTCGTTAGACCCGATCGATATCTACGCATATCCAATGTTACACCATATACATTATATTATATATAAGTTTCTTGCTTCTTCTTGCATGTTCTTAAATTCTTTTTCGATTGCGGTAAGTTAAGAAAATTGAAATTTTGAAAACTTACCGGATTCAATATGGCATCGACATTACTGGAATTTTGCAGCATTTTCTCTTCTTGCTCCAATGTAAGAGAACCATTTGGAGATAACCAAGTATTTGAGCGCTTAAATGAAAACTAAAGCACATTAAACGTATGCCTCGAGGCAATGGCAAATGTGTGTGCAAAAATGTGTGTATCGTAACACAGAACACACATATATAACAAATGTATTACTCTTCTCAGATATATAGCTTTCTTTTATGATTTTGCTACATTCATATTGTATAACTCTCGCTTACCTGCATTAATTCGGGCAATCGATCTCTAGCCATTTTCAAATGTGAAGTATTTCACTTAGTATTACTAACTATCTTGGTATTAGTTAATCAATCTCGATGAAGAGAGTACATGAAGTTCTTATATTTTATCAGAGGCGCCCATAAAGTTTGATAAGGTTTTGTCACACACCTACACACATACACACACACACACACACATACACGCATACATGTACACATGTGTATTTCAATTATAAGATGCCTGAGTAGTTACAATGCACTTTATTAGCTACAAAATGAGAATTCGCCGATACATTTGTTACATTGGTACGGTGGCTGGTAGCATAAGCGTTATTATTAAATAAAACTTGAAAAGTTTATCACCGTCCGATATAGATTTCGTATATATATATATATATATACGATGGTTGCAAAGAGTTTCAACTTAAGTTTTAATATTTATATCTTTGTTTGTTAAGCTTATTGCGGTTGAAAATTCTTTTTCTTTCTCTTCCTTTTCCCAAAGTTTTTTCTTTACTTTTTAATAAAGTTTGTTTATATATATATATATATATATATATATATAGAACTGGTGCGCACAAAGAAACTTGTAGAAAGAAAACTAATATTTCTTTTTTTGTTATTCTTCAATTCGTTTTCGATGACGACGATTTGATTAGCCAGCGTATTATTGCTATTGCTTGCTTATATTAGTGTTAGTCGAACTGACTGACTGTAAAAATTGATTCATTTTTGCTTTTCTTTTTGTGTTTTTTTCTAACATTCTCTACATTTCATATGTACATATATACATATCTATATCTATATATATATATATATATATATCTTTGCTTTGTTCTCTTGTCCTCATAGATTTCCTTTGAAAAACTGTAAATACCACAACTACTGCCTTAACTATGATGACAACTATAACTAACATGATGATGATGAGACTGCAACTGCAAAGCGCTTTGCAAACAGCCGTCATAGATGGAGAAAACAAATCAAAGAGAAAAGATTATTCTCTGTGAGCTCTATAGGTTTCTATGACACAAACGTAAATGGTCGCGTCTACTCTGATGTATTTATCTATATATATAAATGTTTTTAACATTCTCATATAGTATATATATATAAATGCATGTATGTATGTATGTATATACTAAACTTTTTGATTTACAAGCGACTTGACTTACTAATAAAGTAAACGAACTATACTGATTCTTTAATAATGTAACGTATAAACGCGCTATATAGCAAAAAAAAAAAAAAAAAAAAAACAAAAAATTCATGTAGATCCGTCTACCTTTCCCTCTTTGTGTATGTAATTGAACTAAAAAATATTCTCTTAATTGTAAACACAACCAACCGCTTTTTTCTTTTCGTTGCTACTTGGAAAATGTTTGCTACTTTTTTTTTTTTTTTTTTAAATTACGTTATCAGGAGAATTTAGCGGTAAAACCGTTGAGAACATTGTACATGAAAGTCTTGTATATAATTAGGTTAATTACGCGCGAGGGTTTCGTTATTTATGTCCATCTTTAGGGAGATAGGGTATGATAATTTAATCAAACCGTTTATAACGTTTACAAGTAGGCACTGAAGTAGGCCTTCCCGAAATTTCTTAAAATTTTTGAACAGTGTAATTAAAAAAAAAAAAATTGTATATATTTTATTTTAATTATCAATCTGCTCTCTAGCCTCCGGGAAAATATTCAAGTCTTTGGGAATTTGTTTTATATATACGCATGCGTACGATACAGTGTCAAAGCAAGGGTTTAAGTTACTTTTTTAGCTTCATTGGAGAGAAAGCCTGTGTCCCCATTAATGCTTTCGTTATAAAATGTTTCTTGGTAATCGTGGTTCTCGCGATCGTATTCGCACCATCTCTTCAAGTATCATAAGTGAGATCGATGTTCTTTATAGTTGGTAACTTATTCGTCATAGACTCTTCTTTTTTTTCTTCTTTCATGGCATTATGTAACATGTGTTTAGATTTTTACAACTAAGGTAAAACTCTTTAGTTTAGTTTTTTCTCCATCATACGACGATGGTCGAGAATATATCGAGAATGTTCACTTTGTTCTCCGAGGTGTTTCAAATGAAATTGCAAAACTAATATACTCTTGCCTTAAAGTAACGGTTTCGAAAATTACATTTTTGAACAGCAACTCACGTTTCAGTTAAAAAAGAAATATGCAAAGCATACTTGCCCTTTTAGCTTTCTTTTAAGCCATCAACTCAAGCAAAAATATGTGAAAACGCGCGCAATAGAATCAACAGATTGGTTAGATTAAATTAAAACTAAGATTGCACTCAAACGCAATTAACATCAAGACCGCATAGGTAACTGAGTAGCTGAGTAGGTAAGAATTGCGGCTATCAAATCTGTGTGCACGGGTTCAAATGTCTCCATGTCGTAGAGTTTACTTTGATTGCAGTTATAGTGAGTGCAATACTGCTCTTTGCATAACAGTTATCGATTAGGCACATGTATGCACTAAGCTGCGATCGCTTCCTCCCCTCTTTCTTTTCATTTCCCCATTTTTGTTCGACCTTTACGAGTTGGGAACGTTCCCTGAATCACTGATAATATTATAAACAAAAACTAGGTCCAATATCAAAATCAAGTGCAACCTCATACATCCATATGACAGTGCGGTAGTGCGGTAGCGGACTAAGAAATTTTTATTTACTGAAGAGCAGAGATTTTTCTATACCTCACACTACTAAACGGTAAAAAAAGTATCGTAGTCTCGTTAGAAATCGGTCGGCTTTCTTTGACACCTATCAAATGAAATTCATGGGCGCAAACGGAATTTGATTTCTTCTTTTCAGTACTTCCGTAATTACTTCGGCTTTGTAACTACTTTCGCGTAGCTATGGGCAGATCACATTTACTGGCAGTTTGTCTGACATTGGCTAACGGAGTTGAGATTTGAACCCGCGATCATGAAGAAAAAAATACTAAGCCTTAAAATTTATGGTGAAATACATATATGTATATAATACATCGCGTTCATTGCTCTCTCTAATTTTTTATGACTTGAAGAATTCTGCCAATGGCAAGAGAGATAGGTAAGCAAAGTCGCATTCTAAATGAATTCGAAAACTACACAAGTCAAGCGTATACAAGGCAAGCGAATCTCGCAAGGGGCGAATAAATGTAAGAGAAAGCTAGAGCCGTTGTCGTCTCTTTGTCTGGAAAAGAGCTTCATTTTTCTTTGCTTGAGAATACAGATTCATTTGAGCCGAGCCGCACTGTCTATTCATTATTTTTGGCTGAGTGCCAACTATGAATGTTTGCAAAAATATATCTGCTCCGATAATTGGTATCCGAAATTCGACCACAATCAATTATATATCCTCTTTCTTTCTTTCGTTCTTTCTTTCTTTCTTTCTTTCTTTGTAGAATTATAAATATTCATTTCTTTTTTGTTTTTTTTTTTAACTTACAGTATTAATATGTGTTCAACTTTCTACTGAACTTAAGTTTTTGTGTGTGCAATTTCATTTATTTTTTAACATTATTCATACACGTACTACACTCTCGTCGGTGTCTCAAATATTGAAAGCTGCATTTGTTCATTTACATTTCAATTAATATCTTTTCTGCCCTTATGCTTTCTAGCTTCGTTCTATATATGTATTTATATATTAATATTTTAATTTTTACATTTGCATATCGACCGACTATACAGATGCTACTATACACTGGAATTTTCAAGTGTTACTTATATATAAAAAATATGAAAGTTGTTCGAATGAGGCGATGCGCTTCTTTAAGAAAATCATATACGAGACGACCTAGATAGGATTATTGTAAAGTCAACCATGTATAATTTGTTTTTCCAGCTTAACTTAAATACACTGCTTAGTACCGTAAATTGTTTCTTAGTTGGCTAAAAGGCAAAACTAAAGGTCAATTAGTGCAAAAATTTCGCTAATGTAGTGAAACTGGTTCATTTAATTATTAAGCTTTTTCAGACGTATAATAATAACTCATTTTTAATTAGCTTAACATTTTTATATGAATTCATGGAATCGTTTGTACTCTACATAAACTATAAGTCAAAAAAACCTATATTAGTTACATCAGTAGAAATATATATTTAATAGCGCTTTCCATGAAATCATTTATCATTCATTTTGTTAAGTTAATTCAAACATCCGATCATTTATCTCTCCGAGAAATTTTCCGATTTGTTTAGAACTAGTATTGTATTGCATGTGATTATCGAGTTTTGAATTCGTCAGTGAAATTTGATACGAACCAAACTGGATCAGTTGGATTTCTTGATATATATATGTAAATGGTATAGATATCGGTGTAAGTGTATGTACAGTTGGACTAAATCAACATGCATTACTTTTGTAAATGCAATGCAAGTTTCGAACGAACTTAGCCGAAGTTTGTAGTATTCTTACTTACACTTTAGGAATGCTTTTATAATTGATGATTAAGATTAATCATTGAAAGTTAAAGTTTCTCACACCGGTTCGGCATCGTTGAGAGTATTCTTCAAAAGTTTTGAGTCAAGTTAATGTAAAATTAAAAAAAAAAACTAAACTTTCGAACAATGCTATTCTGGTTGTATTAGGTAATCCGGAAATGTCTTGCCGTTTTCCCTTACACCAGATTAAAAGAACCTTTTTCAGGCAGATAAACAGAGAAGTAGGATTAAAAATATATACAGACTTATAGAAGGCATGCTTGTGTTTATTTTGCAAAAAAACTTTCAAAGTAATTGGTTGTGTTAAAGCAATAGTGAGGTGTAATTTTTAAAATGGAGAATCGAAGCGACCCTATAAATAATATTTAACTTTCACAACCGAAGCCAGAGCTATCCTTCACGCTGCCAACCATGCCCATAAAAACAAACTCAAAACCGTCATTGTTACCGACAGTTTGTCTGTATTACAAGCTACTCGCAACCCTTCGACTTCGACATGGAACACCATCAACAAATTAAGGAATATAATTACTACACCCGACGGAAAAATTAAAATATTATGGGTACCATGTCACATCGGTTTACTGGGAAATGAGCAGGCTGATCGAGCGGCAAAGTATGCTGCTTCTGTTCCTCTAATTATGGATGATGTCATGGAAAAGTTTCAAAGCTTCAAAGATACATTGGAAGAAAAGTTAAAGAGAAAATTGCAGAAGGAAATTTACAATACCATCATCAACACTACTCTCGCAATAACCCTCAATTAACTCCACCTCTATATCCAACAAATGTTGAGAAAACCAAGATCCAAACATTCTCGAGAATTCGCCTTGGTCATACAATTGCAACTCACCAATGGATTCTGAAGAAGTCTTCTTCCCCAATCTGCTGTTGCGGACAAACTCTTACTATAAAGCACATTTTCTGCGACTGCCTTAACTTTTCCTTGGCTATAAGTATTGCATTTGGAACGATTAACCCTTTGGACATTCGAAAATCAGCTTTAGAATCGAAAATCAATTCTATATATTACTTTATTAATACTACTAAGCTCATTATCTAATGTACATTCATTTAAATTAGAGCCGATAGCCTGTGTT